TGAAAGGTTTTTCGGGTTGATTTGCTTTTCTGGAGTGGTGCAGAGGCATTAAGAGCAAGAAAAGGCTGTAGCCCACTTATCCAGCCTCACAGTTGGGTTCACTGTGGTACTCTTGCTTTCAGATCAGGCGTCTGGGGGTGCACCTGCAAGCTGCAGGTTCTGGCATGGTTTTGGTGTGAGGTAATTGAGCAGGAAGATTGGACGTGTAAGTAAGAAAGAAAGGAACTGACCATTGCCGTGTAGATTTCAAAAGCCTCCAGAGTATGGAGTTTGGCTCATGATGACTTAGTTGTTATACCAAGGGATTAAGAACTTTTTATTCTTCCTGAACTAGTTACAAATACAAGCGGACATTTGACAAAATAAACTGTCACTAGCTATCTTAGAGAAACACTTGCAGACAACTCTTGCCATAATGGAAAATCCATATATGGAACATAAAGGTACTTCTTCATCAGTTTTTGTTGTTGTCACTGTTATGGATTGCTACATTGTGACTCTTAAGTAGTCCTTAATCTATTCCAAAGTCCAAAATGGGGAAGGGAAAACCTATAAAACATGTTGGCCCTTTAAACAATAATAAAAAAAAAAGAGTTCCTATGGTGCAGCTAAGGTCAGGAAGTAATTGATCATAGCAGGAGTCTGGATCCATGCCCTATTATGTCTGAAAGAAGTCTGGTTAGAGAGAGGCAGAGGATGTTACCTCTGGACTGGGGTAATTGACATCTGAGCCATATAGGAAGATTTTTTTTTCTAGTCCAGGGAAGAATACTAGGAAAGCAACATCTTCACAGGATTGGAACTGAGTGAATTCCTATCCAAACAGAGTAGCAAAAATTCACACTGAAAATGGAGGGACAGTTTTGCTGAGCTATGAATTGCTGTTCCCTACAATAATACCGTTTGACATGATCTTCCATTAATGCATGAAACAACATAAGAGAAGGAGGAAAGACCTCAGCAAACTTAACAAATTTCAATTTTGAAGAAATGGAGCAGCCTATGACCTGGCAGGGTGCCCCAGTATGACGCAGGGCTTTGTGGAAATCAAGTTGCAACAGTGAACGACTTGAAACAGAGTGCTGAGCTGTCAGATAAGTTACAGTTGGTGAATGTTAACTTCTATTTGTTATGTTTGGAAGACAAATACCATACCCACGTACCAGACAGGGCAGGGTTAGACTGCGGGGGTGAAGAAGGGAGGAAGGCAGACCAAAGGAAGGAAGATATCCTCTGTAAATAAATAGAAATGTCAGTCTTCCCCGTTTACTTAGGGTGAATTGCTCATGACCCTGTTGTACCAGCAGCCAGCAGGGCGAGTCAGTGAAGGACCATTTCTGTCATCACAGAATTAGGACAGAGGGTGCGAGACTTATATTTTAATACATTTATTGACAAAATGTACAGTCACAGGCACATGAAAAATCCATGACAAACATTCGGTCTTAATCTGTTACTTATTCTTTGCAGATACTATATAAAAATATGTGTAGCATCTCTGTAAACTACAATTGCCCATCACTACTTAATTGTTGTCAATGTTCACATTACAATGGTGCACAGTTTTCAGTCAGAATACCTTTTTTGTGATTAGTATGTATAATAACAAACAGGAAAGGAACTTGTGGAATTATAATATAGGGTTCCATTTATACTTAGGTGCACTGGGAATACTGTGGTGATTACCATGATATAAATAAAACAAGTATTTGCACATTTTATTCAGTACACCTTGTCAGAGTAATTTTGTCTACATTTCCAATGGAAAGTAGTAATTGCGACTGAGAATGATGCCCCCTTAATCTCTAAGTGCATGAAAGACAAGTAGTTTTAAAATGTTTGAAGAGATTACTAAAAATAATTAGAAACATATTTGTAGTTGAAAATTAGTATTTCTAGGAAAACCTTCATGTTTTCCTACTTTCCCTTTTTTTGACTGTGCTAGTGAAAATTTAGGAAAAAGAAAAAGTCACGCCCTCTGTTTATTTTATTCTTGGAGGTTTTCCTTAACAAGGCTTGAATTGCAAATAGGGGCATAATTAAGGCAACACAGGAGTATTTTATAGATGCACAGTTATAGAAGTGGGGCAGAAAAAAAGTCTATTCCTAGGTGTTGGCTGGCACAGTCTGTTACAAGCAGTAGTGTGCTCTGTGCTCTCTGATGGTGCTCCAAAAGGTCCTAATATACCATGTCAAGAACAATGGATACAACTGGGCCAGCAGTGTTACAGCTACTTTCTTGTTTGGCAAGTAACAGGATTTCCTAGGACTGGAATCTGATCCTGAGCCATTGCTCTTGCAGCCAACTGTCTAAGTAGTTTCTGAACAAGTTGAAGGCACCTGGCTTTGGCGTTCAGTGAGGTACAGAGCAGTGTCCCTTGCAAGCCTGCTCTGCAGAGATGACCCATCACACTTATGTCAGGGAATCTTCCTGCATTTTCTGCAAGTAAGGTATCCTCAAATGTTCTCCCCCTACTCAGTACTCTACTTTGTGCTGTTCAGCAGCATGGGTGATTTTCTAGGGAGCAAAGACTGTATGACCCTCCCTACCACAGATAACCGCCTGTCCCCATGAGCAAGCTATGGAAGTGTTTTCACTTCAGGGCTTTTATTCAATTGTGTGCAGGAAAATTAGCCAATGCATTTAAACACATTACACAGCATGTGTTTATCTTGCCTTGCTCATTCACATTGAGTTGATATTGGCTGGTACAACCTACAGAGAAGCTCAATGTTTTTCAGGCCATAAACAGAATCAAGTGCTTCCAACAGCACCATACTCTTGCTTGGTCCCACTGGGGTCTTTGTTCTTGTGCAGTTAAGTGAATCTTGTGGCCTAGTGCCAAGGACTTGAGCTATCAGGACAAGGAAGTAAATTCCTAATTTGGCCAGACCAGCCAACTTTCTTCTCTCCCCAAGGCCATTCAGAAGCTTCTCTTGCTCATCTCTCCTTTATACAGCCAACCAGACACACAAGACAGTAACAAGAGCTCCTTACCTCGTTCCCTGGTCATCCCAGGGGGTAAGCTAATAGTTAATGCATAAATTACAGTGGTGTTGGTAAGGTCCTGTGAAGGCCTTGTTCTGTTAGTTAACAGGGCAGTTCACATCTTTCAGTGTTGCTGTTTCAGCCCATCTGCAGATTTAGTCAAGCTTGTTACATTGGTTATATCTGATCAAGTTTCCAAAGTTTTCTTCTTAATCATCATAGGCTTGAAGCCCAGGTGTGTTTTTGTTTGATGGCTAAATTATTGGTTTTGTTTTAGTAGAAATTGAATATCCAATGTCTTCAAGTGTCTTCAACCATGACAAGTGTAAGCACAGATTTGTGATTCTTTTATCTCACCCTTATAAAACCCCTAATTTGATAAAGAAATTGCCTGCAGGCCATGGTTTTATTTCAGAGTGCAGTTGACAACACACAGTAGAGATTCACAATCAAAGCCTGACTTTGAAGTATCAGGGGTTGTTAAGATGGCATGGTGCTTTCTAGATGTATCAAATGTGCTCTGTTTACGACCACTCTGCCTGCCACGCTTACGCCAGTTTATGCCCATTAATGAATGAACTGCTTGGACATGGTCTATAGCCTCTTGAGCAATTATTTTAGCCCTTGCTACTGCAGTCACAATTTGGCTAGAAATAACTATAGCTTTCTCTAAAGTTAGTTCTGGTTCAAGCAGTAATTGCTCACATAGCCGTGGTATGGCTGTTCTGTCCACAGGCTCCACAGAAATATCACCATGCTAGTAAATTCTGGGAGTAACATCATTACTATTGGGTTTGTTCATTTTATGAAAATGATGGATTATGTTAAGGAGGAGTTCTTCATATTCAGTTGTAATTACTAGCTAAAAACAGCAGAGAAAGTCAAAATAATAAGAAGTTGCAAAAAAAAAAACAACTAGAGTAGGCATTATGAGAGAGACTGACTTCTCAATATTTGGGCATCTATTGTCTTTAATAGCAAGACAATATTTCTGGGATTTTTTTTTTAATGCTTTATAGATAAATAATTATTTTTAATGATGTGTCTCTGTTTAGAGTCCTAAACAGGTTCAGCATCCTGCAGTGATAGGAACAGGAGAAACAGACATAACAAATCAAAACACGTAACTATCAAATGCAAGGCACCAAAAAAGGCCTGGTTAAGTAGGTTATTGGGAAAAAAATACCAAACTAGAAGTAATGAAAGCTGTATGAGGTTATGCACAGACTAGCTACATGCCAAATTTATAGGAGTCAGATGGGATAGCTTCTGTATTTCCACTATTCTCATCTTCTTCACTGAAACGAGTGTTATAGGAGAGAGAGAACACGCATGTTTGACAGCAAAGTCTAGGACTACAATACAGGCTGCATTTCTCTAGGACCTTCTGGCTAAAAGCTAAGGTTTTATCTCAGAAATACAAATAACTGTGGTGCCAGTTAACAAATAGTTGTACACTTCACCTAACTTGATGGGAAGAAAATGGGGACCTTCTGGGAGGGCTGACTAGAAAGAGAGTGCCATGTACCAGAGACTTTGGAAAAAGTGTATTAGTGAGTCTCAAGCAGTTGATATATATTCAAAAAGGTATCCAGAAATCTGGGTGGTTATCTGAGCTAAACTGAACCCATCATTAAGTTCATTCCCAGGATTAATGGCCATACAGTACAGTACGTGCGTGTTTAGTGAAGCCACAAATAAATTATGAAGGTTAATAAGTGTTTCTCTGAATAAGGAGAATTATTCCTCAGGGAACCATAAAATATGCTATTAAGACCTTAACAAAATAGGCGGCCTCTACCATTTTGAGATTGTGGCTTGTTTTGTTAAATAAGGCAGTAATTGTTTTTGTTTTAATAGTGTGACTGGCCAGGTATTCCTGCTTGAGCTCTTTCACTGTTTCTCAGGGTGAGAAGGTCAGATCCAACCCTTTAAAATTTGATTTGGAAAATGGAACCAAGGGGGGAAAAAGTCAAACAGAATGGTGTTATGTGTGTAGTTACAGGTCTATGGGAACACTCACTAACCAGGTCCTGCATGCCCAAGTCAGCAGCAGTCTTCTCCAGGGTGCCAGACTTCCCTGCCCTTTCATATACATAAATCTGTAAGTGAATCCATGCTGTGGGTTTTCCATTCAAATGGATGGGGATTACCTTTGCATAACTGCTAGCTGGGGTGACATTACAGAGCTCTTGTTTGAAATGTCTAAGGTGATGCTGCAGCATAACTGCCTTTGAGCATTAAGTACACAGGATTTGACAAATGTTGTCACTGGGAGGACAGTGCTGTGCTTGATCAGCATGGTGACAGAGGGAGGAAGATCAATCAGAGAGAAACAGCTGTAAGGAGAACAAAAATTAGATAATGACAGTGACGAGGAAATAATAGAGCAACAAGAAATTAGCAAAAATTTATTGGTTATTAATTTGTTGCTTCTGGGAGACTTTTGGAATCATCTGCAGGATATATAGGCAGCAGTAATAAACTGAACATGCCAGCTGAATTCTGGGCCCTCACAGTAAGCTTCAGAGTTTCACTGGTTCCAAGCTGAAATGTTTTTTAGAAGGACAGATGGGCTCTTTTACAGCAATGACCACTGATTTTCAGAGACCCACAAATGAACATTGCTGTAAATACTACTTAGTCTGGGCAACAGCCGCACAGTTAAGAGGAGCTTCTCAGAGCTTCTGTTGTCCAATCTCACATGGCATGAAGCTTTTATGATTCCAATTTCTTAGAACACAACAGAAAAAAAGCCCAACCCAGCAATCTTTGGTTAGTGTAATGAATTTCAGACAAGCTGGTCCAAAAATGGACCCTGTGGTCATCATGTAAAAGTCAATACTTTCCAGGGGTGACGACATTTTGTTATCATAATATTTCCTTAGGGTTAAAAGAGGAAATAAATGCTCCATCTCAGATACCACTGTGTGATAGCTGTTGGCATGTATTCACCAATGTAAGTAGTTCCTGATGTTAGATAATTTAGTCCTGAAGCTAGGTGAAAGGAGCTCAGTTTTGCTGCAGATTTCTGGTTCTAAAGCTAGCAACAAACCTCAAGGCATGAAAATGAAGGCAGAATGACCTCATTCCAATTCAGATGCTGCACATGAACATTCTGTGGGCAGAATTTGAAATTTCTCTCTTGATCTGGGTCCAAATGCTGAAGCAAGAATAGTCTAATCAAACCAAAGAAGAAGCTTGCACAAATGCCTTGAAACAGAACCTGCCAATTTCTGTAGAGCTGTGCTGACAAGAAGTTATTTCTCCTGTGTTAATATCATTAGAGGAAAGTATTGGAACAAGAAAATAAACAAGAAGACACATTGACTAGAGATTGAGAGCAAGAATGAGGATAGCTGGAGCTCAGTGGGAGTTTTGCCATGGATTTTACTGAATCCCAGGACTTCCTGCATTCTGTTTTTCTGTTAATGTTTGCAGAGAACTGAGATGCTGAATGTTGAAACCAATATCCAGGTGACAGTTTGTGTCAAGAAAATGTGTGTCTGCAAATGACTGCGCACACACGTGCTCCTTATTAAGATATCCTTTTCCTGCTTCAAATTTAACTTAAAAACTGGTTTTTTAACATGTGGCACTGTCAGAAACACGGGGGCAGATCGATGCAAGCTGCTCTGAGCTATTTTCAGTCTGACTGGAAATTACCTTGCATTTTACCCTTGGTTTACTCACAAATATTAGGGTCTGATCATGTCAAATCCACAGGTGTTACTTTGTCATGCTTTCACATAGAGATCACGTTCCTCATTTCCCTTCAGTAGGAAACTGTAATGAATTATTTTAGCCAGTGATGAAAGATTTAATGTACATATTTATTTCATTTCACAAAGGGTAATTGGCTTTTATTTTTAGGGAGAGCTGAATGTCAGCCGCATCAATTTTGACTTCCCTTCTTAGGAAGAAGCAACAAGCATACACTATGGAATCAGATATTGCAATGGATAATAAGAGAAGTTTTTGAAGAAGACAAAAATCAATTTCTCACCCTGTCAAGTTTTTTGAGGGAAAAAAAAAAATCAAGAGAAGACTAGTGGGGATAAAGACAATTTCTGAAAGGGATTGTTGTTAGTGATAGAAGTTCAGAGAAGCCAGCTGAAGTTCTGGTTATTGAAGAGAAGGTCCCTGGCATTTCTTACTAGAAGCAAGCCAGAAAATACAGTGGAACATAAAAAGTCCCAGGGAGGAAGAGTGAGACTCAGTGTTTTGAGCTGATGCGTAAAACGTGCCTCTCAGTACTTGCTAAGGTTGTAACACTGGGAAGAAGCTGACTAGAGGTTGCTTTTGCACAGTAAGCTGGTGAGATGTAGAGGTGCTGCCTTTACAAGGGAAGAGTGTAGATATGTGTCCCAAAGTCAGAGAAGTGTGGAGGACTGCATGAATTGAGACAGATGTTTGTAAGCCTAGTGGGAGGTCCAGACGATCCTTAGTGACTTGGAAAAGTTTGGTAAACTTTTGCAAACATCTTGCAAGGGCCTTCCTTGGCTAATGTCAGCTTCTTATCTCACCATCCAGCTTCTTAATTTCTTTCTTCTATCCAAAAGCAATTGCATGTCTGGCTTGAGGATCCTTCAACTGTGAGAGTTTCAGTGACTACCAATATAGTTCTTCTTTCTACCTCATTGTTTGGTTTGTCTTCAGCAAAGACCATCACTTCGGTTTAGACAGAAGCATGTGGTATGGAACTTGTAAACAAATGCTATACATGGGAGTAATAGATAATTACTTTGATGAAGTAAACTACAATCTAGTCAGGATGGAAAATCCACTTCTGGCCACTGTTGTAGCAAATGATGACATTCAGAACAAATAACTCGATAGTGGAAACTGCTCAGAATTTATTTTAAATGGCAAGCACTTGCTTAAAATGCAACAATGAGCAAACAAAGTAATTTGTTGAGACTTGACTCTGTTTTAATGGTATGCCATAGTGTAGCAGGTGTCTATGCATATAATGGCTTGTTTAATCTGTGTTTCTGAGTTCCTCTAAGTCTGCCAAGAACAAATATTTAGTACTGGAAATTAAATCTTAAGAATAATTTGGAAAAGGCAATTAGCTGATAGGCCTTGCTGAGTTATAAAGAGTGGCTTGTGAGAATCTTCCCAAGCGAGAAGGTTCTCAGTTGAGGCCCAGGTGATCAAGAACTGCATGGTTGTCCTGCTTATACCTGTACACTACAGACTTAATTTCAGTAAAGGACAAGAGCCCCAGCTTTTCATGAGAAGTTATATATTTTATAAATTTTAATTTTTGCATCTATTGTCTAAATATGCTTCTATTGCCTTCAGACTCAATGGCTTTTATAGGTACAAGTTGGTTTGAGACATTCAAAAGAAGAATGTCTAAAGTATAGTCACAGGGATCTGTCCCTAGCATCATCCAGTGTCCTTCTCTAAGAATTTGTATTTGCTTGTTCTATGAAGGACCTGTTTATCCTTCTCTTTGATACAGCCCTGTAGAGTCTAGATCACATCTGAATGAAATGAAGATAAAATGAAGGTAATGATAGATAAAGGAGATAATAAACGTGGAATGATAAAGCATTTACTAAGGCTAATTTTCTCTCTTGTTTCAAAGAAAGTTTTATTATTGTTTTATCATTTTGTCTATTTCTCCATGATACTTCAGTGCCAGTTATTAGTGGGATTGAATTAATTTATAAAATCATGTAGATTACCTAAAATGATACAACTTCTGCTCTATACACAAAAAATTATGAATACATTTAGACTACAATTTTTTCTCTGAGGGAAAATTTGCTTAATTAAGTGACATAAGGCATTTTATTCTATAAATAAAGCACACCCATTCTACACCCATCAGTAAAAGACTGTATGTATCTTTTCAATGACTTAAAGATATGATTTTTCGATGCTCTGTGCGGAATGTCATCCTCATTTTCTTTTGATTTTATATAAGCATAAGTTATCATTTGATGGGTAAAAGTGAAAAAAATGAGTTTTGGTCGTATTTCTTATATATTTCAATTTTAGCTTAGGGTGCTTCCTTTCAAAGATGAATTATTTTCGTAGTGGTTTGTAAATAAGCACTGTTTAGGGATGATGAAATAGTTCCAATAGTACACAATACTGTGAAAATGCATCAATTCCAATTTAGCTTTACACAGAGAAGCATCAGTGAAAGAAAATGCAGTCTTATAAATGTAGGAGATAAACCTCTGTCTTCACTTTTCCAAAGGAAGAACCACATCCTGTGAGGTGCTCAGCATCTGCTGTCCTAATCAATACAGCTGAGAGTTGGCTTTTCTCGATAGGTTTGTACTCCTAGCCAGCAACTGTCCAGCTATAAGAAAGCATCATTGTTTGGCATGAGGAGAAAAAAAGAATTATATCTTTTATGGGAGATCTAAATCATCTTGTCATCATATAACTCAAAGATGGCCAAGTATGTTTTCCCTCAAATTTGTTTAAACAAACAAATGTAATTCTTAGGTTTGTGCTATGGAAGCCAAGTTTCCGTCCAACATGAATTTAGGACATAAAGATTTGTTTGTGATGGAAACAATGCCAGACACTTCTGCATAGCAGTGTAATGGAGCGCCACTAGAATGTAGCTTATAAAACCAGATTCAGGAAAACAGAGCTGCTCTGTCTAATTTGGCCTGCGCTTTGTGATCACAATAGCATAATTGTGCAGCTTGGAAGCCTTTCCCTCTCGGCTGAAATGATGCAGTATTCAAACACGTGTGAGAGTGTTTCTTCGACAAAAGGCCAGAGCTGAAGCCTCTGAATATCCCCCAAGCCTCCTCCGGGATGGGTCCTCCTCATGCCACCTGACTTCCTGTGGTGACTCTGTGCTGTCACCTGCATGTGTCTCTCAGGATATCCCAGTCTCCTGGTACAACCACATCATCTTGTCAGGGCATCTCATTTTTCTAGCAGTTTGTGGAGTAAATTTCCCCTAAATGGGAGTGTTTGCTCTTCTCCTGCTTTAGATAGTTGCACTGGTCAGTGAAGATTATTTGTGTCAGCCGGTGTGGATACTTGAGATGTGTATGAGGGGTGCTTACTGAGTGGAAAACACTCATAATTTGAATTCTTCTGGAGCTGAGTCCAAAGTTTTGTGGGAAAGATTTATAATATATGAAAAGAACTGAATTCCATTTCCTAGGTAAGGAGTGAATATACAATAATCTTGTTCCAACAGAAAGACAATGAAAGAAAAGAAGGAAAGCCAACTTTTCAGTATTGCAATATTTATCCCTTCATGTTCATAGAGTCATGTAATCATAGAATATCATGATTTGGAAGGGACTTGTAAGGGTCATCAAGCCAAACTCCTGACAGCCCTAATGCTTCTTGAACTCTGTCAGAGTTGGTACTGTGACCACCTCCCTGGGGAACCTGTTCCAGTGCCCAGCCACCCTCTGGGGAAAGAACTTTTTCTTAATATCCAACTTAAATCTCCCCTAAGACAGCTTCATGCTGCTCCCTTGGTCAGCACATAGAAGAGATCAGGGCCTGCCCCTCCACTTTCCTCATGTTCAGTACTTCTGAATGTTTCATCTGTTTCTTTAATAAGTAGTGCCAACCTTTGTATATCTCTGACAAAGAAATAAACACACACTGCATTTTGGTGAAAAAATGAGAATTTCAATGAGCACTTCCTGTAAGAGAGAGGATATAATAATTTTCCATCAATATATCATTTGGAAAAAAAGTAATAATATTTTTCTTGTGAAAGCAAAATTATCTCTTTAAAATACTTAATTTTAGGTATTGAACTTTGAGCAAAACCAGTGCAGGTTGGTTGGAACCAACCAAAATATTAATGTAGGCTCAGAATAGTCCTTTGCTTCATCCCAGATCAAAGCTTGTTTTCCTTTTTGTTTGGGGAAAATATGAAGAAACACTATTAATTTATTCTTTTATTGATTATACAAGAGATGATGAGAACTAAATGTATTAAAATGTACATACAGTTTTATAGAATGCATGTTAGTTATCACTTTTAGAAGCCAGCACATGCACCTAAATACAGAAATGGTAACTTTGGATTATTTTTCTCTTCTTGGTTTCAAAATAACAGCTCCTGAGAAAAAATAATGGAATGTTTCTCAGGTACTTATGTGAGAGACTTCTCAGAACACTCTTGCAATCTCAAGTTAGTATTTGTGCTAAATATTGATTTTTTTTTTAGTAGGAGCTTCATTCTGGGGGTTTTTTTCTTCTGCTAATCAAACATTTGATCTACTTTTAGAATATTTTGAGAGAGATCAGTTCAGTATCTTTTGATCCTGATAGCAATCAGGTCATGGCAGCCAGAACAAAGGTTTTAACCTGATTCTGAAGTCCAGCTCTTTCTCTATATTCAGATATGTTCTTTTAGTTAGAATGATTAATGAAACGTTAACTTGCAATTACAGCCTCTGGTCAAGAAGAAAGTTGGAAATACAGAAATAGTGGGTGTCTTTTTCTAATGGCAACTGGGGAGAGTAGAACTGGTAGTGGCAGAATCTTATGGCTCATCCTTAGTCAAATTTTGAAGGTCAGAATAAAGCTCAAATAGATAAAGAGATTTCAGATGTCTCATTGCCAGACTGTAGTGGGGTATAAAGTCTAAGCCTCCACTCCAGGAGTCATCCATCAGTCACAAAAATAAGAAAAATTTAATTCTGTGGTATGTGGTTAATTTGCCTTTAATGGTAGTGGGATCTGAAAAGAGACCTGTGAGTTTATTCTCTTAGTCATTTCTATTGAGCAAATTTAGCATACCCCTCCACGGGAGTTTCTTCTGACTCGTGACTGAGTAAGACCTGCTGAATATCCTGCTGACAGACCTTCAAAAGATGCTTTAGAGTTTACATTTTAGATTCTCTACTTGGTAAATCTTTTTGGGCTGCATGAATCACCTTG